GAGTCTACACGAGAACTGTTGGGAAACTATGCCCATTACCTGATGTTTAAAGGACTATCGTCCTTTCCGGGGGGAGTGTGTTAGTAACGATTACACAACTAGATGGCGCTGTTCGATAACGAAACGCGATATGGTTTGGTGTAACTATTTTGAACATACTTTGTATTAATTTAAGATTTTTTGAGTTGTTCCATTTATTGTGAATTGTTCTTGTGAGTTGTGAGTAATAAATCTATATCACTGAGTGAGTGTCTATTGCTTTCCCCTACAATATCCATAATTAATTTACTTTAAGAAGGGTATCTGTTTAGTATATTATGTTACTAGTATTCCAACCTTTAACATAATTTATATTTATGTATGTACTTAGTATTTACACATAATATAGAAATTTGTTTTATAAATCATGAACACATAATCACCATTCTATTATTTAAATATTTATGTTAGTCATTGCCTGTAACCGTTTGATTCACTGATTCAATTAGTGTGACTTTAAGTAGCCAATTGTTTCGACTGGCTTGGATAATTAGACGAAACAAAACTGCAGCAAATATATAATTACAAAAATACTGTGTTGCATGACATTATGGAAGTGCATGTCTTCCTGTTAGCTACCTATATAAAAATTAAAAATATTAATAATAGCTTATCAATAATCGTTATTTAGGATTTAATGTTTTTTAAATGTCAAGAATACCATTCGCGAATCATTCTATAATAAAAATTTTCTCTACTAAATGCCAGGTGCATACACTATGTCACATGTTAGAGGTCGTAAATATCATTTATTGTCGTATTGAGATATATTTCATACTACCTGTCGCTCGCAACTCCATCCGCGCGCAATAAAAAAAAACATAGTAGCCTATGTGTTCATCCAGACTATGTTCTACATCTATGCCAAATTTCAGCAAGATCCATGTAGCCTTTCTGGAGATACCTACAAACAAAAATCCATCCAAAATTCGCATTTGTAATATTAGTAAGATTTAATCGTGGATGTCAAAATTTCACGGTTCACCGGTTTTCTAGTATCTTATGCATAAATTTACCAAGTTGTTAGCCAGTAACAACCGCGACCTTGGTGTCTAACACTACACAAAGAGCGCTTATTCAGTTGCCTTTTGAAACTGCGACATGCATCACCTACGCAACGTTTTTACGAAGGTGTTATTTTATTTTATCACGTGAACGCGATGTGTTTCAATAAATATTATTTTTATAATCCTGTGACACATTTCTTATCTATACTATATTTTATCGTTAATTTTCGGCCAGTATCAGTAATCAATTTTTTAGCGCCATAAGAAAAACAAAACAATATTTTTGTTGACGCGTCTATTTATCAATTTATCAACAGGAAAAAGAAGAGAAGGCGAAGTTTAAGTTAGAATCGAAAGAGAAACTCAAAGATGATAAGAAAGATAAAGTCAAGGATAAAGAAAAGGAAAAGGTGAAAGAAAAAGAAAAGGAGAAAGTCAAGGAAAAGGATAAAGACAAGAAAGACAAAAAATTAACTAAAGTGCCCTCGACTGTAACTTCGGGAGTGCCATTCGAAGAGATTTTTACATTAGGGGGTAAGTTAATTAAATACTTTAATTACTATACGCTATCAACGTATTATCGGCCTTTTGTAGCTGTAAGTTATTAGGTATATTTTTATAACATACACCTTAGTTATTACTAAACAAACTAATAAGTTATAATTTTCAATAATATTACTTAGTTTTCAACTTTATTATGATACCTACATATGAAATCAAAACGTTTTCACTGCCGAGTTAATTTTGTTAAGCATTAGCGCCTATAATTTTCCTGTCAACGAATCTTCTAATTTCATATGTCGAAGCTAACGTGGGCATACAAACTTGAAGTTAAATCGCTCATAAACGCTATTCGATATTTAGTGTGTTTGAGCCCTTATAATATTTTGGGTCACGGATCATCAATTATCAACTGATTTCTCGCTCTAATAAACGGAGTTTTGTTGATCATTTACGCCATCTATCGATTGTACTTTTAAAATGTTTAGAGAAAAATTTCAGGCGAAGGCCAGATGTTGTGAAATATTAAACTTTATAGTCTGTTTTTCCCGTGTTAGATTAAACGGCGTATCGGATTTGCTTGTTGCAATGAGCATGGGAAAACTTTACTCCTAATCAAAAGAGGACAGATGTAATAAAACTCTGTTTAGAGCTAATTTTTTTTTTAATTTTGCCAATGAAACAAATATTTATTCCAATAAGGAAAAACTACTAGATAAAAAACATAACAGCAGATGTTCGAACGTGTAAAAACAATGCAAATGTGGCAGAACCTTACAAATTGACAGGCCGTGACATTAAATATACAAATTCATGGTCTTTGTATTCATTTTAAAAACGACAAGAGGCGCAAAAATATACCAAATGAAAATTTTAATAAGGGCTTAATACGCAGCAATTTATATAAAAAGAATAATCAAGTAGGTACAATAAGTTTAAAGCTTTCTTTATTTATGAGAGCCTTTGTAACCGTTTTCTACATTAAGCTCGTTTAAAAACATATCGTCATGCTTCTCATTCTGTCTTGAAACAATGAGATCGCTATATGTTTTATAAAAGTGTTTCGTCAGTGGAAACTAAGGTTAAGGTGACATATGCGACGAATTTATACAAGCCGTACGCACTACAGTCAACGAGGTCAATATCATGCATCTCTAACCGTGTAAGGGCATGCTTTTGACAAGTTATGCATGCGGTGCCAGGACTTTGCAAAATGGTAAATCACTTTGTATTGTCCACCATTCAAGGAACTTTGGATTCGTCCAAAATCTTAAATTGGTCTTAATAACCTCTGCAATGAACTTTTTTTTTTTAATAACATGTTGGTCGTTATACTACTTTACCTTACAGTTTGTAGTTTTAACTTTTTGAAATTCTTCCTCAACCAGGGATCAAATCCTGCCTTGCTAGCTTACAGCTATAAGTGTACTTAGTGTATTTTGTAGCTGGCAATTTCTACATACACTCAATCTTTGTGACAATTAAAAAACAAGTATTTTATCTATATGTCCACAAAATAAAGCATCACCAGTTCAAGGCGATACAGACAGATAACACTATGGTTTCGTAACGTAACGCAGCATTTTACTGCGCTCTCTATATTAAAAAAGTGAAAATGAATCCTTTTATAAATGGCTTTCATATTGATGGTAAGTTAGACGAGTGATTATTTTTTTTTTATTCAAAAATACAACTTACAATA